GAAGAGCATCACTGATTCTCTCAGCGTTCTTTACTGCGCGTTCATGTGACAACTCGCTTGAAGAGAGATCAATTAAGACAGCATTTGAGAATAAGTGTCCCAAAAGGCACCCCAAGAGCTAATTTGGGGATGTTCCTGACTGCTTGCTTGTGTAGAATTGCCAGAATGATTTAGCCCAGCGGCTGCTAATTTTCCTGGGTGTTACAGAAGGGCTCTTCAGTCGAGTCTGCAAGAGCCTGGCAACAGACCAGGAAGGCAGAAGACAGAGGATGAAATGGAGTGCAGGAAGGGAAAGCCCTCAGCCTCCACAGAGACTTAACAGTGCCTGCTGATGCATGTAGGCCACCCTCCTAGAATCTCCTAGAAAGAACCGCTTTCAGACCAAGACGGGAAAGGAGGAGAAGAGGAAGAAGGTGATTAAGGAGAAGGGGAGAGAAGCTGAGGAAGGAGGTGGAGCAGAAGGGGAAGAAAGTGAAGGAGGAGAAGGCAAAGAAGGTGGAAAAACAGGAGGAGAATAAATTTCCAAAACACATCCAGAAGCTCTTTGCTGCAGAGGAAAAAAAGAACAGAATGCTGTAGAAGGAGAAAGAGAATGGAGCCAGGCAGGAAGAGTTGGCACCGAAGAGCACAAAAGCCAAGCCAGAAGTGGAGGTGCCAATGGCCCAGGTACTTTGCATCTCTTCAAGAAGACAGCTGTGCTTTCCTGTCATCTGGAGCTGAGACTTCATGTTACCTCTAGCACCCTGTCCAGAGCAGCACTGTTGCTGCAGCACAGCTGGATGGGGGACTGCTACATTTTGTGAGCAAGAGGACCCAACAGGGAGCTGTAACAAAGCCCTGGTCACGCTGGGACATGGCCTTAAGAGCATGCTGAGGTCCCTCTCCTGCTTGCTTTCCTGGCCCACTGCAATCCCCACTGGAATGGTCTTGCGGGGAGCTGCATTCTGGGAAGCAGCACCTCTGATGGCTGAGTGTCTCTTCCTATACAGGAAACCTCTGCCTGTGAGGAAGAGTATTTCATCTCTCTGTCTGAGAGCGAGACTGAGGATTCCAGCCCCAGCCTGATGGAGAAGATGATGGAGGAGTGGGAAGAGGGCGATGAAGAGCCGCCCAGAGTCTTCTGGGACAGCGCTGCTTTGCCTAAACGGTAAGCGTGCACCAACTCCATCCGAGACCAGGGGGCAGCGGAGGGGTGGTGGTGATGAGCCACTTGTGCTGCGGATGAAGGAAGCCAGCCTGTGAGTCACGGTGCTGCACACAGCGCCCTGAGAGCTCTGAGGCCGTGGCTGTGAGCACGGATAGGACCCGATGCCACGAGCCTCTCTGGAGCCCAGAGCAGCCCATGCTTGAAAGTCATCCTGCATCAAAGTGGCTGGGGGGCCAAATGTGGCTGCGTGTGGAAGAGACTGGGTGAGGGAGGGGGCAGGAGCGTCACAGCTGAAGAGCGAGGCAGATTTTGTCTTTGCTTTGCTTATTCCCACGTAGGAGACAAGGAATATTGAGTTCAAGTCTGTGGTGCTTGGGTTATGGTGGTAAGTTGGGTACGTGCAAAGGTGAAATGGTGAGAGGGTCCTTTGGAGTGAGTTTTCTAAAAGAACTTGGCTGAGACTGGAATGAGACACCAGAGTTTCAGAGCTCTTGCGCTCTCATTTCTAAAATCGTACGCTGTTGGGCTTTGCGGGCAGGGACAAACATTTCTGGTTCTGCAGCAGCTGGACTAAGTGAGATGTACGTATGATACAAAGCTGCGAGAAGGCAGCCGCCTTAGCAGCCCAGGGGCCCGAGGAGCGCTTGGGCAGGTGTGACTCCTGGGTTCTGTTCTCAGCCTGGTCCCTGCCTTCCCAGGGATTTGCGAGCAGAAGCCGCCACTGGAACTGAATTGCTCTCTCAGAAATGCGGCGTTGCTCTGGCGGGAGCTCGGTGTGCCGAAGTGCTTCGAGGTGGCCGCCTGGGAGCATGACGCGTCTTTCCTTTTGTTTTGCAGAACTCACTAAGTTCTGGTTCAGCACGTCCTATTATCTGAGTCGACAGCTGGCTCTCTACCAGGTGGGACTCGCCTCCTTCTCCTTCCCTCCCTCTCACGGTTGTTTGAGCCCCGAGGGTCCATTTGCCACGGAGCGTAGCTATTCTTCCCGTCCATGGAAGCAGGAACCACGCCCCAGAGGGGCACTGCATTGCGAGATGGCCAGCTCCACTGTCAGTTCTGAAATGCCAGGGGGTCCACGCCTAATGATGGAAAGAGGGCTGGACATTCTCTGGGCCTTCCTGAGTCCTCTGCTGGCAGAGTCGAATGGACCCTGTGGGGGTGACTGCAAGTTTGGGAGCCCCACTTGTGTCTTTAGGAGCCGGAAGACTGCACTCTCTGGCTGTTCACGGGGAGGAGGGGCGAGAGGAAAATAGTCTTCTGTCATTCCCTGCAAAACTTCTTCTGATCCGCCCTTTCTTCTCTTTCAGGCTGTGTGCATTCCTGGACTGGGGACTTTCACCATCGTCAGAGAGTGCGCACCCAGCCAGCAGAAGAATCTGGTTCTTGTTGAGAGACCCGTCTTTCATCTGGCA